GGAGGGGGGGGATGGGGTTGGCGGAGCCGGGGCGGTGCAGGGGGGCCCGGAGCTGCCCCATTTCTCTTCAGCTTTCCAGCCAAGCTCACCCCGGCCCCTTGCCCCAAGCTGGGGTGGGCCACGCAGCTGGCGGAGGAGCAGCTCGGCGCTTGGGAAAACCCCCGAGGAGCGGGAGACCGAGTCCTGCAGGGCCAGCTGGAGGCAGGTTGGAGCTTGCCCGAAATAAGCTTTCCTCGGTGCTAGGCTGTTCATCGTGGTGTTTCATGCGGGATGGTGAGGCTGCAGAGTTGCTTCCATCCGCCGACAGCACGGGGCAGCACCGGACCTCCGGAGCATCCTGCTGCCACCATCGCTTTCGTCGTTTGGGTGGATTTGGGATTTGCTCTTTTGTTTCAATCTCTTTCCTTCTTCTTTTTTTTTTTGCAGGCGAACAGCGCGACGCCGCAATGCCCGAGCCGTAAGTAGCACGAGTTTCCCTCGGATTTCACTAAATCCTCGCCTGGCTGCTGGGCTACTCGTGCCGGCTGAGCTTGTCTGTTTTTTGGGGAGGCTCAGCTGAGACACTGGCCCGTGCCTAAGATTGTGCCGTTGCCTTTACAAAAGCTGTCTTTAAATAAAAATCGTTAGTGATTTCAATGTCCCGATTCAAACCTTGGAGCTTTTCTAGATCCCAAAATAGGGATCTGAGGTGGGCAGCACCGCTCGCTGTGCTGTGAGGCTCTTCTTGGCACATCGTACAAACGTAACGTATTCCCCGGCACGAACAGCCGGGAGAAACCTTCGTGCAAGGCTTTCACCAAGCCATGGCGCGGAGCTGCCCCAGCCCTGCAAACCTGAACAGGATCCCAGCACCCTGCGTGCCGGCCCCCGGCTGCACAGGGAGCGCGTGAACAAGGGTGTTGTGGCCCGAACCGCAGGGACCGGGCTGGGGCTGCCACAACGGCAGCGTGGCAGCTCGCCTGCCCCATCTGAGTGGCATTTTGGCTTTTTGAGCTGTGGCCCTGAGTGCCCGCTGCATTTCCAGAGAGCACCATCATCTCAGAGCTGGCTTACTTGCAGGTGGCAGCTATTAGATAGAGAAATAAGGAAACCAGCTGCAATCACATGAGATGATTTTCTTGACTGTCACCTCTTTTTGACTCATTCACTGATGCCCTGTTCTCTTCTCTTGTTCCTTACTGCTCCCTCCTGAACGCATGCCTGCCTGCAGGGAGGTAAGTGCCTTTCCTTTCAGGAGCGATCTTGATGCTACGCTGCATTTGCTGTGTTTCTTTTCAAAGGGTTTTTTTTTTCCTCCTCTTTCCTCTAGAGAAAATCCAAGATCACAGCCTCACGCAAACTCTTGTTGAAGGTGAGTCCTGAGGGCTGGAAACTCCCTGGGGTTTGTCTTGCTGGGGAAAAGCAGCCAGGCTTGAAGTGCGTGGTTGGTGGGACAGCGATGAGGAACGGCAGAAGTATGGGCCTTGGGGAGCTGCTCCCACTCCCACCTCTTGTCTTCTCAAAATTCCTCACTCATGTGGGCTTTGTGGTCCGTACACCAAACAAACCTCCCCTCACCTCCACTTTGCTAAGATGGGGAGAGACTCTGACACCTTCAGCTCTAAAGCCACAAACCTCATGTTTGTGCACCAGCAACTCTGCAGCACAAGCCTGGGAGCTCCCCCAGTTGTGGCTTGGGAAAATCATTTACTGCCACAGCAGAGCAAACCGATGCAAAGAAAGTGCCGACATCAGCATCCGTTGGGACCACTGCCACCGCAGCCCCGTGGTATCTCTGGCCCTGCTGTTCTCCTTGCCTTCAGGGTCACCACACAAAAGATGTAGGGATTTTTTGATGTGTGTTGCAGCAGCACGGTGATTTTGGGAGGACAGTTACAGCAGGGAGGAGGTTTGGGAGGCAGGCAAGACTGTCCCATCTTACAGACGTTGCATGAGGAGGTTCAGGGGGAGCAGGGGAGTCTGTTCACATCTCTGCCATTTATTTGTGCTCGTAGAGTTTGATGCTGGCAAAAGCGAAGGAGGAGTGGGACCAGGAGATCGTGGACAAGCAGTCAGAGAAGGAAAGATACCTGTCTGAGCGGATCACGCCACTGCACACCAGTGGGCTTTCCTTGAGCCAGCTCCAGGTATTTCTCAGGTGCAAGGGTGGAGCAAGCTCCTTGGGAGCATGGAGGAGCATTGCTCATCACTCTCCTGTTGTGCTTGGCCCACAGGACCTGTGCAGGGAGCTGCACGAGAAGGTTGAAATCGTGGATGAAGAGAGATATGATATCGAAGCAAAATGCAACCATAATACTCGGGAGGTAGGAGGCAGGATGGGCTGTTTGCTTCGACATTGACTCCCTCCCAGATGGCAGCTTGGGCCTCGATGGGGGTCTGTCATGGCCTGAGCTGAGCTTGGATATGGGACATGCACCAGGCTTATCTAAGGGCTGGTATTTGCTCTGCAAGGCACCACTCAGCACAAGGTTCATCCCTGCCTCAGGGAGCTCAGGCTGTCCACTGGGTCCACAGGCCACCTCATTGCTCTTCTGGTCACTCCTTGTGGGTCTGAGGGCTCCTCCTCATGGTTATGGCTGCCATCCAAGCAGGTTGGGCAAGGCAATAACAACAGGTCTATATGCAGGTGGACAGTCCCTTGGTGAAGGTGGTCCTCGTGGCTGTAGGAGACACACAGACCCCCCTGGGGCTCAGTGTTGGCAGAGATTCCTGCTTCTCATAGGAGCTTTTTGTGCAAGGCAGCCATGCGATGACTTCCCACACCTCCTTCCTTTCCTCAACCTGCAGATTAAAGATCTGAAAATCAAAGTGCTTGATCTCCGAGGAAAGTTCAAGCGACCCCCCCTGCGGCGAGTCCGTGTCTCCGCTGATGCCATGCTGAGGGCTCTGCTGGGCTCCAAGCACAAGGTTTCCATGGATCTGAGAGCCAACCTGAAGTCTGTCAAGAAGGAGGACACGGAGAAGGTGGGTGACTCTTCTAGAGGCCAGAGATGGAGACACCTCCTAGGGATGCCCTTGCCCTTCTCCAAGGTCTCCTGTGAAGCCTGCATGGGTTGTGATCATCCCTTGTAAGCCTCAGAAATAGCACGGTGCAGTCCTTGTGAGGCACTGCCCATCGCGGGATGTTGTAGGACCGTGTGGGAGCAGTCTGACTGGGCCAGATAACTGGTGGATGATGACAAGTGAGATTTAGGGCTACCTCCATGATGCTTTTCCCTCCCAGAGCATGGGGGGTCTTTCAGCTGGGGTCCCCTTGGCATGTCTGATGAGGTGCACTCACAGAGGGTTTGGTCTTTGGTTTTCTAGGGAATCAGGAGAGCTCCTGTTTGGTGCAATCATACCCAGAAAACACCCAGGAAACTCCCAGACTCAGATTAGATAAAACAGAGCAATCCCAGGGAGCATGCTTGGCCCGAGGTAAACAGCCCAGTTCACACCAGCTTTGCAGAGATGCGAGAGGGCAAAGTACCAGAGATGGAGAGTGATGCCCAAACCTGCCTGGGGTATGCAGGCACCCCCAACGGCAAGAGTTGTGCCTCTTTCCTAGGGCCTCTCCCCAGCGGGGTTTTACCCTTTGGTCCCAGCTCAGCAGATTGGAAGAGAATCTCAGTTTTCAATTATTTTTCCTTTTTTTCCCCCTGTTGCTGGTACAGCACATTTTTCAGTCCTTTGGACAGAAAACTGTGTTTGCAGTCCTCAACACCAGGTGGTGAATAGATCTGAGTTTATTTTAGATGTCGTGAGATGATTTTGGGGAACGGCTTGTAATCTATGAATGCTTGTGGGTTGGCAGAGCAGACAGCTGGGCATGCTCCCAGAGCTGCCGTCATCTCCCCTTTCTGCTCTGGAAGCGGCTGCCAGGCTCTCACTGTCACACCAGCAGTCCCCGTCCCCCCCAAAAGCTCAGAGAAGGTGGAGATGAGTTTTATGTAGGCTGGGAGGTCTCTGCAGAAAGTGGTTTTGCTTGCATTCGCCCCAGTGTGCTTGTGTAAATCTGGAGTAAGTCCCGTGTGCTAGTTTCTTCCTCCGAAAGAGATTTTCTGGGATTTTGGTGCCTTCTGGCGCATTGACGCAAGTTCGCCAGGCTCTGGGGGAATATCTACAAGAATCCAGACTCCTCTGAGGAGATCAGACGGCTCCGCCATCTTCCCAGGCGCTCGGCGCGGGGCGCACGGCGGAGCTGGCTCTGGGGCAGGCGGCGTTTGCCACAGGGCAGCTGCCT